CCTCCCCTGGGTCTTGCATCTTCCAATGCAACTTGCTAAAACCATGCCTTTTGTATTCTTCAATTCGTTAAAAAAAAAAAAAAATGCCAGATCCATACCTTTTACATTCTTGGTCCATAAAAGGAACAAATTAATTAACTTGCAATTCATACAATTAAATAAAATCAGAACAATAAACCCGTTAATTTTTTCTTAGAAAAACACCAAATAAGCTTTAGATGTAATCAGATTTGTTTTGAAAAAAAAAAAAACATTAAAAACAAAATAAGAGAGACATTCGAGAAACCCAGCATAGAAGGTCGATTCCAAAGAGTGGGTGTTTGAGAGTGATGCACTTTGATGTTCCACTGCTACCCAAGAAACCTAACAACAAATTTAAGATCAACACAAAAACCAGCAATTATGCGTTTGATGTAGTAATCACTTGGTTCAATTGCCTCTGAGTAAAGAGAAGTGTGGTGGTAGTGTTTCACCAATTGGAATAGAGATGAAGAGTTAAAGAAACAAACGCTAGAGCTCCTGAGGTAGGAGAAGAAGAGAGAATTTTGACATACGGGTAATTAAGTATTTTTAACTTCAATTTTGGCTAGTTTTATAAGAATTAGAAAATATAGGCTATATTTCATTGGATGGTTCTCAAAATGGTATATTTTCAAATTTCTCAAAGTTAAGGGACCATTGCTACAATACAAATATAAGCAAATGTTTAATATGTGTAGAAATATGACTTTTTTATTAATTTATACAAAACACTATAATATATGTAGAGTCATATCAATCCCTCTTCCTATTTAGATAGGAAATCCTACACAAGTTACAATTAGAATTACATTTCTATAATACATGCAATAATCACGGAGATGATTCCTAAGTAATTAACTCTAATTTAACAATATGTACAACGAAGCAATTCATCTCTTATCCAAACACTAATATCTGATTTTTCGTGTGGACATCAATTTTGTCATATCGTCTATCTTTCCAATTAATCGACACAAATTTCTCACTTAGGTTTTAGATTTCAGTCACCAAACACTTTGAGAGTTCAATCATAAAACATAAGCTTCTAGAATCTCTTAATACCCTAAAAGAAGCAGTTATGTCTAAGATTAGGTCAAAAATTGAAAGAAAAAAAAAAATTATGAAAACATGAGTCGAGGGAAGCTAAGACGCAACTTTCATTCTACAATGTGACAAACTGAATGACTGAACTTGAATGAAATTTTAACATTAACGTCCGGATAAGAAAATATTTTGTATAACAAGGATTATCATAACAGTTGAGAGGTGAGATCAATATAAGCTTGTATGTATATCCGGGCCGATGCATCGTATGCCAATCCCCAATTTAAGTTGTGAACTTTGAGACCCTCAGAAGGACATGTCGTCCAAAATATCAGTCACGACTCCAAGTTAAAACGACAATCAGTGAGTCAGTTTCCCACAGTCAGCAGTACGAAGCCTAGACAGCGAGGGAACAAATGGCAGCTGTGTCTTTTAGGTAGCTACTGCAGCTGCACAAGGACGTGCCAAAAGCCGCCCGGTTCAACGCCGAAGGTTTGGGCTTCGCCGTTAATGTCTGCACTATTCGATGGGGGGAGCTACAGTTGGGCACACCAGATCGGTGCTCGATGCAATCCCCCAAGTAACCCTCTCTCTCTCTCTCTCTCTCTCTCTCTCTCTCCCCCTCCCTCTCGATTTTCTCTGAGATTGGGTGCTCGATCCACACCAGATGTTTGATGATTTGTCTAAACCAGATTTTTACACATCCTTTGCGACAAATTATACTGCTTGTTCTTGTTTTTCGTAAATTGAAAGCGTAAAACTTTGAATTTCTTGGGTTTTTTCGATTTTATGATTCTTTCTAGTTTTTGGTAATATGGTTTTAGTTGAGCAGTATTTGGATTTAAGCTTTGTGTTTAGAGTGAAATTGGGATCTGCTAATGATTAAAGTTTGACTGGGATCTTGCGATGCAGAATGGAAAGTCTTCACTTTTGTTCTTAACAGTGCCAGACATTAATCGAATTTGTGGTCGACATGATACATACAATGATAATGAGCAAGGTTATACATATACATTCGAATAGACAAATTGACGAAATCAAATTTGCTCTTGTTTTAGCCTAGTAATCATGTACCCAGTACCTACTCTATCGCAAAACAACAAGGGCTATAGCAGCTCCCCCTTTGTTGTTGCATTAGGAAGAGTTTGTGGGAAATTCAACACTGCATAACAAGAGCATGTGCTGCTGGATAGACAGACATGCACCCGGATGTGTTGAAGTTTTATAATTTGTAGTAATTTCCAATAATGTTAAGGTGATTAATCTAGAAATTTGTACATTTTCAAAGTAAGAATGTGACTCTGTTAGCGAGCTTAAAAACCTGTTTGATGTTTCAATTGGTTGCTCTGGTACGTGTATGAAGAAATAATATTCCCTTTTTTTCTTATAATAACTCTTTCCGCAAAATGGCAGGTTGCAACTCTCATAGCAGTCTATGCAAACTGGTGTTTTTCACGGATAAAAGGAGCTGGCTGGGGGTGGGCTGGTGTCATCTGGCTTCACAGTATAGTGACATATGTCCCTCTTGACTTTCTTAAATTCGCAATGCGAGCAGAAAAGCGTGGAATAATCTTTTGGAGAATAAGGTATGTTGCATTCTGCGCTACTCAACAATGTAAGTTAGATTGATGTTTCTTGCCACAATTTTCCTTATTGTGTCTTCCCACCATATTGCCTTCACTACAAAGAAAGATTATGGGAAAGAGGAGAGAGAAGCACAGTGGGCTGCAGCACAGAGGACCCTTCACGGTCTTCAGCCACCTGAAACGAACAACCTTTTCAATGAGAAGAACAGTTACAGGGAGCTTTCCGAGATTGCAGAACAAGCCAAGCAGAGGGCTGAGGTTGCAAGGTAAAGGACCATTTGCACTCATACATAGATATAGAATCATGCTTGTCTCCGTAACAATGTCTGCCGGTTCTGTTTCTTGTTTCCTGGAAAATGCTTCATCTTGCATTGTTTTCCTTTGCTGGTTGGACTTGTTCCACGTGAGAATTGAGTTCTAAAAGAGCTTTTCGTTTTTGTTGCAGGCTTCGGGAGTTGCATATGCTGAAGGGTCATGTTGAGTCAGTTGTGAAGCTGAAAGGACTTGACATCGATACAATTCAACAACATTATACAGTTTGATGAGCCTTTCAAAAGGGAAACACAGAGAGAGACTTAAGTTTGTACCTTGAAGTGAAGAGCGAGTAGCAAAAATTAATGACGATGATGATGAAGCGCTTGGCAATAACCTTGTGTCTTTAGATTAGGTTGCAACTAGTTTACTTTTGATGTTAAATTTGGGCAGAGGATTATCCTCTTTTGTAGCCAAATAACATGAAGTTTACAGTTTGGTTGTTTTTACTCACATGTCGGCTTTTCAATGTGAAAGCTGCTGCGTATGCTTTTGCATTATTTCCTGTACAGAGTAGGATACTACAAAACAAGTAACAAGGAAGGATCCAATATGAAATTTGCAAAACTCGTGTTGGAATTTCTACGTTAGGTTCTCAAGAAAGACGAGTTTGATACTAAATTATTGTAGCTGTATTATTGTATACGCAATAATCTAATTCATATCAATACAATCATGTTTAATCTCACCAGCTTCCCAGTCTTAACCTCAACTTGTCCAAGCTTAGTCAGTTCCGTGACGCTCTAGACACGAAAATATCTACTAAAAATATTTACCTTGAGTTCTGGGCGTGAGGTATATATTAATTTGTTTGAATATAGGGCAGCCTACATGGTTCAGTTCCTACTATTGTTCAATCTTACGCCAAAAAGCAACCTTTGTCATATTTCCTACCCTAGAAAGGATTTTAAAAAAATTGTAACAACTTCAAACGAGGAGTGGAGATGACAAACCAAATAGAGGCAATTGTTTAATATGCGTAGAAATATGATTCTTTGTATTACTTTATATAAATCACTATAATATATAGAGTACTTTTCGATCGCTATGCATTTCATCGCTCCATCGAAAATTTCCTCTACCCCTACCATACTCCATTTTGGTAGTTTTCACAATATCAATTCCTTTTTAGATAGGAATTCTGCACAAGTTACAATTAGAAATTACATTTCTATAATATATGCAATAATCGTGGAGATGATTCCGGAGTAATTGATTCTAATTAAACAATATATACAACAAAGTAGTTCGTCTCTTATTTGGATTTTAATGTTTGATTTTTTGTGCCAATATCAATTTTGTCACATGGTCTATCTTTCCAGTTGATCAACACCAATTCCTCACTTAGGTTTTACATTTCAGTCACCGAACATTCTGAGAGTTCAATCATAAAGCTTAAGCTTGTAGAATCTCTTAATATACAAAAAGAAGCAATCATGTCTAAAATTAGGTCCAAAATTGAAAAAGAAAAAAAATTATGAAAGCAACAGTCAAGCGAAGTTAAGGCGCAACTTTCATCCTAAAGCGTAACAAATAGAATGATGGCCTCGAAAGAAATTTTAACATTTACGTCCGGATAAGAAATTTATCTGTATAACAAGAATGATCAGCATAGTTTAGAGGTGATCCGGGTCCACGCATCATAAGCTAATCCCCCAATTTAACTTTGAGACCCTTAAAACGATATGTCGTCTAATATCAGTCACGACTCACTGTTAAAACAACAACCAGTGAGTCAGTTTCCTTCAGTCAGAAGTAGATAGCCTAGAAAGCGAGGGAAAAAATGGCAGCGGCGTCGTTTAGATGGCAAAAGCCTCGCGGTTGGTGCTCGATGCACACCAGATGTTTGATGATTTGTGTAAACCATATTTTTACACATCCTTTGCCACAAATTATACTGCTTGTTCTTGTTTTTCGCAAATTGAAAGCGTAAAACTTCGAAATTCTTGGGTTTTTTCGATTTTATGATTCTTTTTAGTTTTTGGTGTGGTTTTATTTTAGCAGTAGTTGGATTTAAGCTTTGCGTTTTGAATGAAATTGGGATCTGCTAATGAAATTGTTTTAGCCTAGTAATCATGTACACAGTACTACTCCATCGCAAAACAACAAGGGCTATACCAGCTCCCCATTTGTTGTTGCATTAGGAAGAGTTTGTGGCAAATTCAACACTGCACAACAAGAGCATGTGCTGCTGGATATACACTTACACCTGAGAGAGAGAGAGAGAAAGAGAGAGCCAATTTCAAGAACATCTATAATATAGCTACAATCTTGGGCCAATCTTCCCCTGTCTATAACAAGAACATCTATTCCATGTCCACGTAGGGGATGTGAGCAATCTTGGGCCAATCTTCCCCTGTCTCTCTCCGGAATCGTTCTTCTAGCAGCGGACACCTCCGTATATCCAGTCGAGAAAGAGACGTGGGAAGCCATTCTCCTGGCAAGCACCTGATATTAGGGCACTCAAAAATAAACAAGCCTTTCAGAGATTTTGGCGCTTCTTCAAGAAAGCACTGGACCTCAGGGCATCCTTGTATTGTGAGGCCTTGAAGAGAGGTGAGTTGTCTCAACACCTTGCCTTGGATTGTTGTAAGATTCGGATGTTTGCGGATGGCGAGTTGAGTGAGAGCGGTGGGCAGGAGCCCCTCATCCGGAAACGAACATCCCATTTCTTCTCCACATTCTTCAGTGAAGTTGATTTCCAACTTTCTAAGAGAGTTGAGTCTTGTTAAACCCCACAGTGAGCGGTTTGCGGCGAGTTTTCTACAACACTCAAAAGAAAGGTCTTGTAAATTTGAAAGGTCTTGTAAATTTGACAGCAACACTCCTTGAGGAAATGGTTCCACTTCTGGACAGCTGAACACTTCCAATTTCTGAAGAGACGGTAGAAGGGTATGCATTTGTTCTGGCAACGACCTCAATTTCTCGCATTGAGAGATAAGCAGCTCCTCCAATTTAGGTGCATCCATCCCTCCATCTGGAAAACATACAAAATTTGGGCAGTTTTTTATTTTCAAGTGAACGAGGGAGAGGAATTTAGGGCATTCAGATTCCACATGTGCAAGTGAACCGCTGAAGGATTCCAGGTGCCTCAATTTTACCCTTTCAAGCCTTGGCAGCTTCTCCAACGGTACTATCTCAGTTAGCTTGGGGCATCTGCTCAGTTCAAGCTCACAAAGATTAGGAAACAGTATTGTGGTGTTGCCTCTGCTTCCATCGTAATATGATTCCACTTCTGGACAGTCAAACACTTTCAATATCCGAAGAGACGGTAGAAGGGTATGCATTTGTTCTGGCAACGACCTCAATTTCTTGCATTCAGAGATACACAGCTCCTCCAATTTGGGTGCATCCATCCCTCCATCTAGAAAACATACAAATTTTGGACAGTTTTCTATTTCCAAGTGAACGAGGGAGGGGAATTTAGGGCATTCAGATTCCACATGTGCAAGTGAACCGCTGAAGGATTCCAGGTGCCTCAATTTTACCCTTTCAAGCCTTGGCAGCTTCTCCAACGGTACCATCTCAGTTAGCTTGGGACATCTTCTCAGTTTAAGCTCACAAAGATTAGGAAACAGTATTGTGGTGTTGCCTCTGCTTCCATCGTAATATGATTCCACTTCTGGACAGTCAAACACTTTCAATATCCGAAGAGACGGTAGAAGGGTATGCATTTGTTCTGGCAACGACCTCAATTTCTCGCATTGAGAGATAAGCAGCTCCTCCAATTTAGGTGCATCCATCCCTCCATCTGGAAAACATACAAAATTTGGGCAGTTTTTTATTTTCAAGTGAACGAGGGAGAGGAATTTAGGGCATTCAGATTCCACATGTGCAAGTGAACCGCTGAAGGATTCCAGGTGCCTCAATTTTACCCTTTCAAGCCTTGGTAGCTTCTCCAACGGTACTATCTCAGTTAGCTTGGGACATCTGCTCAGTTCAAGCTCACAAAGATTAGGAAACAGTATTGTGGTGTTGCCTCTGCTTCCATCGTAATATGATTCCACTTCTGGACAGTCAAACACTTTCAATATCCGAAGAGACAGTAGAAGGGTATGCATTTGTTCTGGCAACGACCTCAATTTCTTGCATTGAGAGATACGCAGCTCCTCCAATTTGGGTGCATCCATCCCTCCATCTGGAAAACATACAAAATTTGGGCAGTTTTCTATTTCCAAGTGAACGAGGGAGAGGAATTTAGGGCATTCAGATTCCACATGTGCAAGTGAACCGCTGAAGGATTCCATGTCCCACAATCGTACCCTTTCAAGCCTTGGCAGCTTCTCCAACGGTACTATCTCAGTTAGCTTGGGACATCTGCTCAGTTCAAGCTCACAAAGATTAGGAAACAGTATTGTGGTGTTGCCTCTGCTTCCATCGTAATATGATTCCACTTCTGGACAGTCAAACACTTTCAATTTCTGAAGAGACGGTAGAAGGGTATGCATTTGTTCTGGCAACGACCTCAACTTCTTGCATTGAGAGATACGCAGCTCCTCCAATTTGGGTGCATCCATCCCTCCATCTGGAAAACATACAAAATTTGGGCAGATTTCTATTTCCAAGTGAACGAGGGAGAGGAATTTAGGGCATTCAGATTCCACATGTGCAAGTGAACCGCTGAAGGATTCCAGGTCCCACAATCGTACCCTTTCAAGCCTTGGCAGCTTCTCCAACGGTAATATCTCAGTCAGCTTGGGACATCTGCTCAGTTCAAGCTTACGAAGATTAGGAAACAGTATTGTGGTATTGCCTCTGCTTCCATCATAATATAACCACTTTTGGCAGTTCCACATCTCTCGCAAGCACAATTTTTCTAGAGAACTAAATGGAGCAAGTGAATCATTACCGTAAAACTCGCTATCTATCTCCACCACGTTATTTATCCCTCGAATAAAAAGATCCTTGAGGAAGCGTAGTTGCCCAAGTGGTGGCAATAAGCGGCAATGTTTGCAATCTATAAGTACAATATGAGATAGTTTAGAGAAAGATGGATCTGCTAACCAACCTGGAAATTCTAAACCCCCATAAGATCTAATCTCAATTTGTTTGAGGTTTGTATGAGGTTGGAGCTTCTTGAGCACTTCTCTGTCATTTTCTGGATCATGATTACTGGTATCATCATCACCTTCTCGCCATGTCAAAACAAGTTTGTCCAGATACTCCTTGTTGCTCATGATATCTGCTTCCAAAGCATTCCCCTCATGGTCAATGTTACCAAGTCCCGAGATTGTAAGATCTTGGCGCAAATGCTGAAGCTCTTTTAACTCTCCAATCCTTTGACCTGTTTGTTTGTCCACCACAAAATCGCTTAATGTCTGGAGATTTTTGAAGTTACACATCCCTGCAGGCATCTGTTTGATCTCTGTTCCTCTGATATTGAGATGGCGCAAGTTGATTAGTCTCCCCAATTCGGAAGGTAGTTGAATCAGCCGATGACAAAATTCCAATAACAAGGTCTGTAAATTGTACAAGTTGCACACCTTATCAGGTAATTCTGTTATGAAAGTCCAAGACACGTCCAAATGCCTTAATTGTTTTAAGTCGCCAATTGAACTAGGTAACTCATCAATATCCAAATCTTGTAATTTGAGCACTCTTAAATATGGTAGAACTAGCAATAGATCAATCGGTTTGTTTCCCAATCTGATAAAATGTACCGAATGTAGTCGTAGAAAGCCGTGCAAATGCTTAGCCTTGTATAGTGCCCCAAGATTCTGAGTACTTTGATTGCAGAAGTTCATGGAAGAAACATGACGAACTCTGCATATATTTCTGTCGACTGTCAGATGGTCGTCCTCCAATCTCAAACAAAACTCTCCAGATACAAACTTTGCTAAATCATTGATAAGGTCATGCATGGTGAAATATGACTGAAAATACTGGTCTTTTGAATGTTGAAAGAAAGACCTTGATACTAGAATATCAAAGTAATCACTTCCAACATCTTCCAATGCCTCCTTCCCGTGGGGTTGTAAGAGGTCTTCAGCCATCCACCATAAAATTAACTGTGAAGCTTTAAAGTTGTAACCTTTAGGAAATATTGCACAATAAGCAAAACAACGTTTGAGATGCGGAGGTAGATATTGGTAACTTAACCATAGAGCCGGCAAAACCTTATCATTTGGCAACTCCCATAAGTCACTCTTCAATATCTTTTCCCATTCCTTTGGATTCAAAACAGAGTATAACAGGCCCCCCATTGATTTTATAGCTAAAGGAAGGCCTTGACACTTCTTAACAATTTGCCTTCCAATGGCTTCAAGATGCGGATGGGCAGGAATAACACTGTCTTCCGTGAAGGCATGCTTTGCAAATAACGACCAAGAATCGTCCTCGGATATTCCCTGTAGATAATGTGTTGAAAGAGGCCCGGTGATAGATGCAACGCGTCTTTGGCGTGTTGTGACAATGATCTTACTTCCGCGTACTCCGCAACTATTGAAGTGAGTCATCAAGTTTTTCCAAAGAAGATAATCCTCACTCCAGACATCATCAAGAACGAAGAGGAACTTTTTTCCTGTCAAAACCTTCTCCAACCTTTCAGACAGCAGATCCAGATCTGTGATCCCGCAAGTTTGATCCGTGATCCTCCCATATATTGTTTGCGCTATTTGAAGAATATCAAGTTCTTCTCCGACACAAACCCATGCTTGAACATCAAAGTCATCCTTGACATCTTTGTACACAAGTTGAGCAAGGGTGGACTTCCCGATCCCTCCCATGCCCTCGATGGGAAGCACTCCTATCTTGGGGCCAGCAGTATCATCCGAACGCAATGATTTAAGAATCGTTTCTCTGTCATTTTCCCTTCCCAAGACGTCAGACTCATCGACCCGAGAAGTAGTTTGACGAGTTCTGTCTTGTGGTCTATGTTGAACTCCTTCTTTCAGACCAAGACCGTCTCTTTCATTGAGAATGATGTTTAACACCCCCAGAATGTTTGATATCTTCGGTTCAAGAGAGTCGTGAAATTCATCGGACGGAGAAGAAGACTTGAATACTGATCTCGTGATCCAGCTTGTGCTGCTGCTAGCTGCAGGAGAATGCTCATCGTCACCTTCCAGCTGGCGTCGAAGAGCTTCAGTGTTGATCTCGTCCAGCAACTCTCCTACACAATAGATAGCATCTTTGAGGTCGTCGAGCCACCTCCTCACGGTCGGCCTTGTCATCTGCTTCTCCTCGGCATCGTCAACCAGCTTGTTAGCAGTGAGCAACTTGAGCTTCAACTCCCTCATGAGCAGCTCGTTGTCGTTTTTCTTCCCAGAGATGAAATCGAGGAAGCGACTGGAAGCCATCCGGTCGAACAAAACATTGAGGAAAGAAGAGAGAAAAGCTCCGCCCACCAACTCAGCCATGGTCACAACTGAGTCGCCGTCGGATAGGAATCTGAAAGATGAAGAAAGAGTTTGGGTTGTGGGGATGAGCTAGTTTTGCTTGAATGACGCTTTGCTACTAGTTCAGAGCTTTCAGATCGTTCAGATATCCGTCAACTTTTTCCACATGGGATTTTTCAATCAGTTTTGTTTTGATTGAAAAATTAAAGTGGGAAAATGCAACGCGGTTTATGGGGTCGGCCAGTTGGGAAAATGCAACAACTACCATTCTTGATTGAAAAATGACTTTGCCACTTCAATAATTGACCATCCAGATTTTTAACTAATATTTCTTTTTATTTTTCTTTTTAATTAAAGAGTGTGATTAGTTTTTCTGAGTGAGGGAAAATGCGATCCATCCGGTCAAACAAAACAAGGAGGAAAGATGAGAGAAAAGCTCTGCCCGCCAACTCACCCATGGTCACAACTGTGGTCGGATCGGAATCTGAAAGATGGAAGAGTTTGGTGTGTAGGGATGAGTTTTACTCTGCTTTTGCTACTAAAAGATGAGTTCATAGTGTTTTTTCATTTGTCATTTTCTTAGGGGCATTGCCTTACAGCTAAAATGTTTAATTTAATTTTGCCCTTGAGCTAAAGAAAAATATTTTTACATTGTGGATAAAAATCATGGCAACCGTCCCAAATTTTCAAAAAGATGACGCGTTTTATGGGCTCCACCACTTTCAATTGTTTCCCACCCGCTCTTTCTTCTTTTTTTTTTGGGTCGGATGGATAATGTTCCTTCTTTAAGTGATTCTTGATAACTAATTAGCTTTTTTGCACGCATTCTCTCGTATACAAGTGCATTCTCGATGACTAATAATTAATTTTTCTTCAAATGCATTCTGGATGACTAATAATTTTTCTTCACTAGCATTACTCTTGTTTCCCACTCGCTTGTCCTTCTTTAACTGCATTCTTGGTATTCTTTCGTGAACTTCATTCGCGATAACCAATAACTAATATTTTAGCTCGCTCTTCCTCATCTGCAAGTCCATTTTCAATAACAAATAACTAGCGTCCTCACCCACACGCTCTTCCATCTACAAGGGACTTTTTTCAATCACATGCTCCTTTTAACGTTCAATTTTGTAAGCTAATTTCAGTAGTGGAACAATAATTGAGTTCATCATTTTATTATTTTCAATTTATTTGATACAATAGTCAAAAATTGAAAACAGTGTGTGAAAAGTAAAAAAAATATGAGTGATAGCACCATCTTTCAAAACTATCTACCTGCAGCAATAGTGTGAGTCGCAGGGGATTTTTTGTTTTTGGAAGGTGGATTAAACAATAAGAAGACAAAAGTTGGAATTGTCGGGAAATTTTGTTTTTCTTTTTACTCGTATTGATTTTGGGGCTAGTATATAAATTAAATGATGTTTCTTAAGAAATAAGTCTGCAAATCTGAAAAGAAAGAAAAATAAAGGAGGAGGAGATTGCTCAAACAATGGTTCACTTGAAATTTTTTGTAAATTCCTATCATTTCTATAAATGGTGTATCGCTCAAATTTTTGCTTGGGGCCTCATGACTATCTCTGTTTAGTAGTTCATGAGAATTAGACGGGTGTGAGCTGACGAAGATATCATGGAGAGAAAGGAAGTGAATTAGAATGTAAGAGCTATCAAAGTCTAAAATGGCCTTAGTTAAAATGTACATGACCCACTTGACTACCATGTTACATCCGGATTGTGGTCTATTGCTTGCAGCTCTACATGTGAACTGTTGTTGGACAAAGAAAGCAAAACAGTGTAATTACCAAAATAATGATATATGCCTTCATATATACACACTAGCCGATGTCCACATGCTCTGTGCGTATGTAAACAATTTTATTTTGAGTTACGAAAATGGGAGTGCGGTTAGTTTTTAAAATTCTAAGAAAAAAAAATCAGTAATGAAAATGGGATTATGATGGGGCATTTTTTTTTAAAGTGGGCATTATTTATTTTTTAATATATCACATAATTATTGTCTTGTACTTATATTGTAATATTGTGTATTCAAGGTAAGGGTAAAATAAAAAATAAGGATATAATTGTTATTTTGAGAATGAACGAGGTTGACAAAGCCTCTTTCTTTAATAATAGTATAGATAGTAGGAAAATACCTTTATCAACCTTTTGACTAAGATCAAGCATAGATACTGGAAACGGATTTCATGACTTTCGTCTAAGTTTCATCTTCCTCAAGGATTTACTTCTATCACATTATAACTAAATAACGCTATGCCATGGAAGAGAGAGAGATTGAGAGACAAAAAATAAAAAAAAAAAAAAAAATAAAAAAAAAAAAAAAAAAACCTTACTCATAATACTAGAGAAGTTTTATTTGAATCCATATAATTTCATTCTACACCTAACTTACTCTTCATATCTATATTATTTTTTATTCAACTATCATTATCTCTTTAAACACAAATTTACTACCTAAAGTACTCTTACAAACTCAATTCAATATGTAAGTTTATCTTTACATCTATTTAAAAAATAAAAAACTAAACTCAAAGCATACATTCTCTCCTTTGACATTTTAATTTATTTGGTAATTGTTGGCTGAATAGTTTTGCAAGCATTACAAAAGAAAGATGCACAGTTGCATCCGCGAAATGAATTATGCACAATCCATGGAAAATGTCATGGCCATAACCTTAATTTCAACATAATTCCACGAATCAAAGGACCTTTTTCCTTTACAACTCCTCTTCTTTTTTCACATTAAAAGCTAGGGTCGGGGTTTCAAAAAAAAAAAAAAAAAAAAAAAAAAAAAAAAAAAAAAAAGCTAGGGTCTAAATCTTTTTTTTTTTCTTTTGTTTCGCACACACAGACATGGGCTAACAAAGTCTTTTTATGCAGGCAATGTTAAACCTTAAAAAAAACTTGAAATCAAAATTATTTTTTTGCATAAATCGTCTCATACCTTACTTGGAGGATCCAAAACTTTAAAATCAACACCTATCGGTCGAAAAAGCTTGTTTTTCTGTATGAGATCGTCTTAGGGTTTTAGCCAGAATAGAACATTGGTTAAAGATTGTGTGATGGTTAGGATTTGTTTATTGGATTTTTTATTTATTAATAAATTTTAATTTTATTATTAGTTTATCTTGTACTGATGGTAATTATGCAATAAAGTAAAAAAGACAATTTACATTTAAAATTTAAGTTGAATGTAAAATTGTGTTATATGAGTTCAAATAAAATTTCTCATGATATTATATTAAAATTCTTTTGTTCACCCCCCCATAATTCGTTAAAACACCCCGGCATCAAAATTTCGCCCTAGAATTCCAACTTTACCCTTGTTTCTCATGGAAGTGCCACCCCTTGCAAATACAAAGCATCCCACATCTATCCAACATACCACCTCACCGTCGCCGGTGACTCTATTGTGTCCTCTAGGATCAACCGGACCTTTGAAATCGAGCCGCGAGGGAGGGAAAATGTGATCCATGGCTGTAGTGTGGTTTGGTCTTTATGATTTAGATAAACAATTAAGTCTTTGAGGGAAACAGAATTCAAACGCCAGGCTTCTTTTTGGGGCTCAAGTAAAACAAGTTAAGATATGATTTTTTATTTTTATTTTTAAAAAGAATGGTATTATCGACACATCTCATTTAACTTTTTATACACCGATGAGCACATATTTTATTACTTATTTTACCCTGAAAGTTACATTTTATGATGACATGTTGGATATAAACAAGAGGAATTATATAACTTTGAGTTTTTATAGTCATACTAATGAATAGGATCAAAGTCATATTAATTTCTTAGTTTTAATATAATCATGTGCTATGTTAAATGCCTATGACCATGATTGAAGTGTGGACTATGGATTTACGATTTAGAAAAGACATGTGACTTAAATTTGTTTTACTTCAATCTCTTTGCAGGATACTCATTGGAATAAAATTGGAGGATGTCCATTTGGAAAATACAATTACCGTTTCGAATCAAGTAGAGAATTTAAGAGGGCAATATGAAGGTCATGGTTGTGGTTTTAAAACTTCGTCAGTTACGGAGAATGAAAGAAGGAAGTTAAGGGGAAAGACAAAAGAAACCAAAAGGAACAGCTGGAGTTCAATTGGCATTAATTTGGAGATAGTTGGGGCTGCTCATTATGGAAGAAATGAATGAAAGTGGGAAGAAGAAAAGGAAGAATAAGACAAGCAGAAGAGGGAAGCAAAAGTGGGCAAGACTAAGAAGGAAAAAACAGCTGGTTAATATAGTTAATTGGTTGGTCATTATTCATGGAAAAAAGAGAAAAAGAAGAGGAATTAAAGGGAGGAAACTGATCATCATTCAAGAAAAAAAGAAAAGAAAAGAGAAAAGCATCGGCGGAACATGTAATATCCCACATCGTTCAGGAGAGTGGATCCTGTAAGCCTTATATGTATATTCTCATTTCTACCTAGCACAAGGCCTTTTGGGAGCTCACTGGCTTTGGAATTCATAGAAACTTCGAAGTTAAGCGAGATTGGGCTAGAGCAATCCCAGGATGGGTGACCTACTGGGAAGTTGTTCGTGAGTTCTCAAAAACAAAATCGTGAGGGATTGGTCGGGGCCCAAAGCGGACAATATCATGTTACGGTGAAGTCGAGCCAGGATATGGTGGGGGCCCAGGCCGGGATGTGACAGAACAAGAAGAAGAAGGCAACAGCAGAGCACTCTTGTGTGTTTAGTAATCTAGATGCCATGGATTGTTAGCACATATGAGTATACATAGTAAACTAGATGCCGTGGATAATATATGAATTAGAGGAACTAGACCGTCAATTTGGATGATTACTCATTAATAATTAACGTAGGAATTGAGTTGGATTGGTTATGGTGAATTGGATGCTCTAGTGTCTTTCACAACTAATTTATAATTTTCTTTGCACGTTGTTCATCATTTTACATTACTTGTTAATTTCATTTTACATTTTATTAATTTAGAATCTCTACTCCTAAATTTTTCTCAATCATTAATCATACAATTTCAATTCAAGTGCAATACAAATTAAGTTAGATAGAATTATTTCAATCTTAGTTGGAACGATCTTGTGCTTGCCTACTACACTACTTAATGATTGGTACACTTGCGAGCATTAAAATTTGGACTTAATTGGGTTGATTTCGGTTAATCTAATTTTGGCAACGTATACTCTT